AATTAGCAGAAAATTAGTGTTTACAGAACAAAACATACTATTATCTTCTTGTACTACAAATAAACCCCCTCAGTAGTCTAGTAGCATACATTGCACAAAGAAACGTGTCATTACATAGTCATACAATGTCTAACATTAGCCAGACATGGAAGTCTTCAAAATGTGAGGCTTTCGAATATTTTGGGGAGATACTTTACATGACCTGGAACAATCCTGGTCTCTGGTGTATGCACTTCTCACATTATTATAGTCCACCTTTCTCTCTTCTCAGCTTCTAAGATTTTCTCTCCTGCTCTACTTTCTTATTGTCTTAATTGCAGACATGCAAATACAAACAGGATAATTAATCCAGCACAAAGGGAAATCAACTTTTATTTGATTCATGTGCATACACATTTCAAACAAACAAAAAAAAGAATATATTTCATGCGCTTTGAAATATGTTAATGACTTGGACTGAAAGGCAGATTCTCCAGCCTAGTCATATTTCTTCTCGTGTCAGTATGAGTTTGTTTCAAAAACAGGGGTGGAAAAAAAGAAAATCAGCATATTTATTGTGACATACACACAGAGAAGTCACAACTACACGAGCTCTGTTTGTTTGATTGGACAATAATGGCCTTATCAAAACCCTAGAGGACTCTGGGTAAAGAGGAGTGGAGATGGCATAAGAGACACCCAGGCAGAGGATGAATTACGTGTGGGACTAAAACATTCATCCTAATGATCTGTGGTGAAAAAAAGAGCTTTTGACGTGGGCTGACTGCCTGAAGATGTTTTGCCATCGTCTGTTTTAATTAATCTTTACAATGAGAGACAAGAGGGAGAGGAACTTCTGACAGCTCCTCTGTTTTTCCTCCCAAAGCTTAAACAGCTGAAACAAGCAGAACAAAACACATATGCGCACCTAGAAACTAAAAGTATTCTAATACACACACAAGTCTCAAATTTAAACAGATGTATTAAGCAAACAAACCAAAACTTTAGCCCTGATCTCCACATTTTACACCTCATTTTAAAAACATAAAGGTTTTGGGTTTAGCTGTGTCTCACAGGGATGAAAGACGCCGTAGCACGCAGTCATACATGCACGTAAAAAGATGCTGAAGGTGACAGCTTACACAACGAATTAAGAATAGCAGCTTTCGCAGCTGTGCAGTAAATCCACGAAAAATTGTGAGGGAGTGAAATAGGTATGGGTAGCGAGAGGTAGAGAGCTATACTGAGGTTTTGAGACAAGGGGACGTATAGAGAGACCTGACATGGAAAAAGCTTTAGTTTCTAAAACAAGACACACTGTACCGTAAGTGGATGTGGGGCAGGTGCCATCCTTTATCTTTCTTTATATGTATGCTGTGTGGCTTTGTTTGTGTATATGTGTCTCGGTAGATCTTCTTTATCAATTATTCATGCGGCCATCTCCATTCCTCTGTGCCCACCCAAGCTTTTACTTTCTCCTATATTCACTCATTCCGTCTCTCCCTCCATCACTGCGCACTTTCTCGGATAGCCGAGACCTTGCTGCCCTCCCCTCTTCATATCTCCAGTGGCACTCATCTTGTCCTTCTTTACTTCCCTGTCTTTTTTTGTTTCCTCTTTTACTATGCAGTGACCTCTCTGCCCTGTTTTATTAAAGGTCGCCTTTCTTTCATTTAGCCATCCTTCGATCTCCCCGAAGATTCTGTCTCTTTCCTTTCTTCTTTCATAAGTCTCTGCATGTTTTTCTTTTACTCTCACTCAGCCGTGGGCTTTTGAGGAAGATGTATGGAGATGGCAGGGGAGCACGTCTGTGTTTGTATATTATATGTTTTTGAGTGTGTGTGTGTGTGTGTGTGTGTGTGTGTGCGCGCGCGCATGTGTGTGTGTCTGTTTGCTGGCATACAAAAAGAGGGAAGGACTGGTAGTCGTCTCCGATCTGCCTGCCTCATCATGTGCCTCATTAACTCCAGATGCCAGACCCTATGTAGCTCCACCCATATAATCCAGCTCAGCACACACACACACACGCACACACACACACACACACACACACACACACACACACAAGTTACCAAATGGAGGGAGAAACTCAGAGTCTGCTACACTATGACCTGCAGCGATGGGCACTTCAGAGAGATGGTGAGGGGAAAAGAGCACAAGCGAGATGAGGGGTGGAGGGGGAATGGGAGCATAGAAAAAGTAAGCCACGAGGGTCTGCTTTGAACATAGAAGAGTAAAAAAGTTCCTCCATTGCTCCTTCTTTTAGCTCCTCCATTGTGCAAATGCTCTTCTTCTTTCCTACTCTCTTTTTCGTTCTCCTCCCACTCCTCTCATCTCACCAGCCTGTGATCTACTGGTGCATGAGTGCAAAAGAATACTATAGATGTGAAAAGAGTACTGAGCTGAGACACGTGTGAAAGAGTGTGTGGGCTGATGGCGCGTACACCAAAATTAAGAACATATGAGTTTAAACCTCCATAAAAACTGCATTATGGACAGTATTTAAGGTGTTGTCAGCATTTCTTGATGTCACTAGGTCACCTTAGCTTAGCTGTCTCTAAACCCCTCTCTTTCTAATCTCTCTTTCTGCCCAGTAGACTTCCTCTTGTTTTACACAGCTGTTCACCATCTCCCTTTAACCCCTACATTTACGGTATTCTCTTTTTGTGAGAAAGGAACTGAATTTAAAAAACAAACAAACATCTGGCTTGGTTCACATTAGCTCAGTCTCTAAATCATGCTTATAATGTTTCTCACTCATCTTTGTCTCCTTCCTCTTCAACTGCCTTCTCCATTTCTCTCTCTCCTCCAGTGTGGAGCATGATTTTAGACAGCAGGAGGGACGTTTCCAGGGGGTTATAGAGGCCCTAGAGGGGGAATATGATGTGCCTGCACCAACTCTGACCAAGCCGACGCCAGCCCCGGCATCCTCCAGTCGCCCCAGTACCAAGGCACGGGTCAAGAAACTGCGCAAGAAGTGTTTCTGGTGGCTCTAAGCTCTAAGAGTTGGAAAAGCCACAACTGGCCTTCTGGGCAGCAGGTGCAGGAGCGGATTATATTTCAGGGGATCCAAGATGTTGCGGAGTAAAGCATGTGGGTGTGCACTGAGCTTAAGTTTAAATTCAGAAGGTGATCTTTTCTGAGCAGAAAACATGGACTGTGAATGGCACATTTTCCACAGTAACCAATCCTGAGCCCTGTACACCGGTGACAAGGTAGAAAAAAAAAAGGAAATGTGATAAAGAGGGAGAAGAGGACAAAAGAGGCTGTTAAACTTTCTTGACTGCTTGGGAGGAAGAAGGTGAAATTTGCAGAAACCAGTATTTGCTGGCTAATTTGAGATTACGTTTCGCCTGACAGTGAGGACAGTGTTTTTCAATAACAAATCTGCTGCAGACAGATGAAGCATTGTCACTCTAGACAGCATACAGTTTGTCACTTGGCTCAGTGGCTATTTCAACAGATGGACAGATGTACGAGCTGGGAATGAATCGTTATAACAGTTTTGGATAAATTACAGCAATAAGCAGGGGAATGTAAATGAATGTGAAAAACAAAGGAATATAAAAATTAATTTGAATGCTATGTTTTTGGATGCTGGACAGACATAATTTGAATGTAGCAACAACTGAAGCACTTGAAGGATATCATGGGAAAACAAGCTGATGAACTGTCTGGACACACAGCTTGCTCACTGAGTCATCAGGATTTCACAGGGAAAGTACAGATTGTATTAAGAAAACATTAACAGACAATGTGATACACAGCTGATTGAAGACTGACAGCCTTTGTCAGATAATTAAAATTTCTGTCAACCCTGAGTGACAGAGTAATCGATTCTCTCCTTTATTATCATCCAAAATGGAAGTGTTTTGCTGCAGTCTCAATTGTGTTTCAAGGATCTTTACACACGTGTGCATTCGAACGCATGCACTTAGTGGCATTGACAAGCGGGCATCAGTTTACACATACAGCATACTCACTGAAATACAAACAACTGACTCCTCTCTCACACAGTAAACACTCAATACATTTGTGAACCAGTGCAAACTAAGAACAGACCTGTCAATCCATTTTAATGACTGGCCTGTTTAAATGTTGAGTATCAATATACAATGTATACAGTAGGCACCAATGAATTGTTGTTTTTCAAAATTTACCATTGCACAAATTGTGCAGGTGAGTGCTGTGTTGGTACAACACAATGTGAAGCTTTAGAGAACAGGAAGATAACCAGAAAAATTAATTTAAAAAAACCTGAAAAGGTTCAATCTCTTTCTTAATACCAACAGCACACTTCAACTTAATCATGTAAAATATATCAGACAATCATTTCAATATCTATATAGGTGTTCTGTAGCATTCAGGCCACACTTGCCCTCCTAATCAACAAATATTAGTGCTAAACTTTAAATTTAGGTTAACAAAATATACAAAATGAGTCACTAAGGGTGATGAGTTTTTGAAGATTTTTTTCCCAAAGGGAAACAATATATTTGTAAAAGCATAGCACAACTGGTAGATAAACAGAAATTTTTGCAAACAGCATTCATCTGGACATTAATTTTGTACACACAGACACACACACACAGAGCATTCACAACCTGCTTTGTTCACAGCAGTTTAGAGCTTAACAACTGATCTCACAAGGGCGTCCTTCAACTGCTTATGGCTGTACAGTTGCCACCAAATACAATCCTGGATGATACTACACTTAGTAATTAACCAGTTTATGCGCAAAATGCTCTGTCCCTGCATTTTCTTAAGCTTTCCCATGACAGTGTGTGAGCCCTCACGATCCCTCTTGTATGTGCAATAAAATTGTGTATTTTAAACAAAATACTCTGCTGTCAACATATTTTGTGTTTCAAAAACAAACTGAATACCATAGCGGAGTAAATTAAGGTGCTTTCTTGCAAATCCTTTTTGATAAACATGGTATCAGCAGGGAAAATATGTCAAGGGCGCAAGACAGAAGGTTTTAAAGAGTCCACCATATGTCCTACTTGTAAAGTACTTACAATCAGAGCGTGCTCTCGACCCATGGTGATGACTGTCTGGTTGATGACCCGTAGCAGAGATACTACAATGTCTTGGATATGTTGGAAGGTGTCCCCCTGATAGCAAGTCAGAGTATAGGTGTATGGTGGAGGGGAAAGAGAAGCACAGAGAGAGGGATATGGAGAAAAACACAGAGATACACAGGAGATTGTTAGATTTTCTCAGATCAAAAGAAAAAAAATAGATACACAGACAGATGCAGAGCAGCTCCTGCCCTTTTCAAACATTATTCACTCAGGCATAACTTTAGTACTACTTGTGGGGATACCCCAGAACTTCTTCTCTTTACAAAACTTAAGATTACTTGAGCATTTTATCTGTGTAGGTGTTCTGCCCTTGAATTAACTATGCTGAGCGTGAAAACAGCCAGAATTGCAGAGTACAAATCATGGCTATGGTTCTGAATGCACGGTGGACCAAACACTTGAAGAAAGAGAAAAAATGTTTTCTGAATATAAAAGTTTAAAGTCTTTTAACTTTTCTGAAATGCCTCACCAGGACATTTACTTAATCATCCTCAGTGTAGATGAATGAACTGCAAAAGGATTTTTGACACGTGAATGTAGACTTTTTCAGTGCAGACCTACTTTCCTATTCCTATATTTCCATTCCCTTTGAAGCCACTCCCCTGCCATGTTTCTTTTTCTTTTATCCTTCCAGAATTAAACAAAGGGGATAAAATGTTTTTAAGAGTTGATCTCTGTGCCCAGACCTGTTCAGGTCAGATGCCTGTTTAAACCTTAGAGAAAGTCTGCAGGTTTAAAGAACAAAAAGCTCAAAGCCTAAATATTAAACTGACTCGATTCAAAGTGTCCCAGTAATGTCAGCTCTCCTTTAATTGGTCTTGTTCCTACTTTATTCAGTGGACTAACTGCAGCTGGACTTGCAGGGTCATTTCTGACCTTGAAAAATAATATTACTTAACTTAACACAGCCTTACATCTATACATCTATACATATTATCATAAAAGCACTTCAGATAGCACAAATTATTCAACTCTCAGTGTACATTTTACTTTATATACACTTCATGAAATATATACATTCTGGAGGGTGATTTTTAATGATGAGTGCAAAAAAAAATGAAGTAGCAAAAACTGCAGTGCAACTCGAGGCTTTCTCTAGACTCCCAGTCAAACTTTGCAGCATTAAAAAGAATATTTACAGCCTGAAAAAAACATAAAAAAATCAGTTTGGGCCTCTATGGATATTTCCTCCTTTACACCAACTCTGAGTGGGGTCATTTTTTAAAAACTCATCCACCTGGATAATTGAGTTAGGGGCGCGGTTGTGTTGATTGACAGACGTTCTTGACACAAGCAGCTGGAGTCGAATGGCATTTGCTAAGTCTCATTCACTAGTTCACGTGTGTGTGTGTGTGTGTGTGTGTGTGTGTGTGTGTGTGTGTGTGTGTGTGTGCATGCGTGTATAGCTTGCTGTACTTTCCAGATTCTCCCATAAGCAAGCTTATGGGAGAGTGAAACTATGCCCATCTATTACTGTGTACAGAAAAAAAACCTTCAGACTGCAAGTTAAGAGAAATGCATACCAAACAGGAAAAAGGCATCTCTTGAAAGCATATATGTATATATAAAATATCTAATCTCATTATGGATCCAGTGCATGTGCACAGGGAAAAAAGAAAAACAGGGACACACACAAGCACACTCTGCCACAGTAAAGGCGGTCAATGGACGCTGACTCAGACTTGCCTGGGGGTAGTAACTCACCAATGAAGCATCGGCTACATTCAGACACACCTTAGTACTAATACTGCAGGGTGCATCTGTGTGTGTGTGTTTTTAAGCCCTTGTTAGTCCCAGTGTGTGTGTCAGTTTGTTTGTGTACGTGTGTGTTTATTTTGTGTGTATATTCCTGTATGAGGCGTTCAGCAATGCATGAAAAGAAGAGGGAGGGTACAAAAATAACAGAGGGAGGGTACAAAAATAACAGAGGAAGGTAAAAAAATTAAATAAGTCAGCTTCAAAGTTTTATCAGTGCAGCTGTGTGCATGTGCAATGGCCTGATGGCAGCAGGGTCTGATGAGAATCAGGTAGATATGATTGTATCACATGAAATGCGCTGACTCACAGCCAGAGGACATAGACAAAATAAACAACTGTCTAAATGTGTGTATGTCATCTTGCATACTATTTCCATCTACCTCACACACACTCATATAGTAAAACTGAGGCACAGCTGTGGATCCTAAATAAGCTTAAATCTTTTTAGCTCACTGTAGGTATTTTGGTCCCCTGGAAAGGGTTTCTCAGAACAGGAAGCTGAAAGATGAGAGTCACAAATGCTCCTTTCTTCTTCTAAAGTTTCATTTCTGTTTATCTCCAACTGTAGCCAGCTGGTTTATCTTCTCCCCGAGCAACTAGATATAAACTGAAAACACTGATTTGCCGTTATAGAACAGAAAAAAGCAACATTATCATATACAAAAGTTACTTGTGAATACATTCAATGCAAACTCTTCCAGAGATATGAGCATATGTCTATAGTGACATCTTCTCTTCTATCTCCACTCCTCAACCTGTATTTCTCCCCCTCTCTTTGGTTCGAAGACATCTGTTGTGTGACAATTTAATCAGGTACCACCCAGAGCGAGGAAGACAGAAGGGTGAAAAACAAAGGAGACAAGGAGCAGAAAAGTAGAGAGGAGGCAAAACTCATCTCCTATCACCTCTTCCTCCTCTACTTCTGTTGTTTTTCTTAGATCTTGCACCTGTTTTCTGTCTCCCATGACTATTTTTTCATTGTAAAACACGGTTGACACATTATCTATTAAATCACTGTGTGTTTAGTTGTTAATCCTCTGTTTTCATATTGTTTGTTCAGCCTCTCTGCATGCCCATAAACAGTGCTCAGCCTCAAACAATAACGTCATTCTATAGCAAACTTTTTTGTCCTTGTGTAGTTTGATGGAAAAACGCTATGAGGCTGTGCGTCACTGGTTTTGTGATCCAGACAAGACCGAATTTCAACTTGTGATGTCCTTTCAACACTCTGTCACCACCTGCATTTGTTTTCATATCTCAACCACCGCAAATTCATCTCATCAAATTCACTCCACTCCACTTCATTCATTAACTTGCTCTCTTCTCTCACTATCTGTCTTCCACTGGCACATGCTTCATTAGCTCATCCAAATAAATAGAGCCAAAAAAGGCATACCTTCACTTCAAAGACTCGGCATGCTGTCAACAACTTGCAGAAGCAATTAAAAAGCCTTGAGCTAGATGCTGGTGATCTATTTGTTTTACATTTATGTATGTGTGTGTGCGTCTGCGTGTTTATACAGTATTAAGTGTTAAACTAAAGAGCTAACTGCATTTTGTTTCAACATACAAACATGCAGCAACACGTGCGAACCAAAATCAAATAAATTCTAATTGGTCAAGGCTAGGGATGGGTATCGGTGTCCGGTGCCATGATGGCACCGATTCTGACATAAACGGTAGTAACCAGACCGAAAAGCAGCGCACATTTCGGTGCTTTATTTCGGTGCTTTTTTTTCCTGAGCTGTGATACACTTCTAGCCAATCATTTTACGTTTCCGAGGATAGTAGGCGGGGCTAGGTACGTACGTTCTTTTATGCAGAGCTACAGATTAAAAATGCCCAAAGTGAAGCGGTCAACAGTCTGGCTGTACTTCACAGCAAAAGATGCAAACTCAGCAGCCTGCAACAAGTGCTTTAAGCTGATACTGTCAAAGGAGGTAACACCTCGAATCCGATGAAACACCTGGCGACGCAGAGCGTTTTTTTTTTCAAAAACCAAGAAATGCGCTGTATTTGATAGCTTGCTGCGAGACCTCACACCGAGCGCATCTACTGCGGTGTGGTGCCTGTTATCGGACCCGGAGTTAGCAACATACCCAAAAACACGAAGAGGAGAGTCCTGCCTCCTAGCCCTGCCAGTGTAGCAGAAATGATGATGGATGATGATGGCAGCAGCAGCCGTTCTTCTCTGCGTGAGTAGCTTAATGTTGTTCGTGTAATTTACGTTGAGTAGGCTAACCACGTTATTACATTAATGCATGTAAGGTGAACTAGCAAACATCATCATAGCTACATGCGGCTGTCTTCTTGTTTGATGGCAGATACTCCCTTCACCCTGGCCAAAAAGGCTAAAATGACCAAAGAAAAAGAGGGAAACAGCTGAACATGAGAGGTTTTTGGACAAAGTTTGTGTTTTTTCCATTGTTTAAGCACTGCTTCCAGCCAAGAGTGATACCATATATGCCCCATAGCTGCAGAAAAGGCTAACATTGTTATCTTTTTACAAAAAACAGCTGAACATGAGAGGTTTTTGGACCAATTTTGTGTTCTCCATTCTTTAAGCACCGGTTTGAGCACCGTTTAAGCACCGGCACCGTTTCAAAAGTACCGATTTGGCACCGGTATCGGATAAAACCTAAACGATACCCATCCCTAGTCAAGGCTAGCTTCATTACATGAGAGGATGGCTGGAGACAAAACAGCTTATGGTTTTTCTGTAGATTCAACTGGGATGAAACAGAGCTCCAGGCTAGTTTCAATTTATCCAATTAGCGAGGAGATCCAGTAAAAAGAGACAAAGGAAATTTCATCTAATCTGTGGACTGGATCATTTTTACACTCACATTTCTGCAAAGATGATGGAGGTAAGATAGACGAATTTTCCGACAAAATGATACCCCGTAGGTTCAGTGTCTCATCAGATTCTGCTGAACTGTCTGCTTGGCCTAAAACAATCTTTACTATAAATGAAGATTGTACATTTCTGCCTGACCTTTCACCATTCGATATATGTTTATTGTCTCTACATAAACTCTGGAGTTATTGATGGTTCCAAAGATTAGGTCAAGTCACTTGAGTGAAATTAGGATCTGATTTTTGTTTCCCACTGACATTTGATTGTATCTGTGGGAAACTGGGACTGCTGTTATGAAGGGTAATTATTGCTACAGCATATTTGCTACAATTACACAGAAATCATCAAAATGAAAGAAACAAGAAAACAGGGAAGCGAGTGGCAACGTAGAGAGATTGGACAGAAAAAGCTCTGTAATGGCTTGTGGCTGTGGGACTTGGCTGTATACGAAGTCACACAGAACAACAAGTGTGGGAAAAGACCAGCTGCATAAAGATTAAATTAACTGTACCCTTAATCCTCTCCACAAATGAGAGATGAGATCAGTGTTTTATATAAATGGTTGCGTTGTGTCTCACCACATTGTTCCTGCTGAGGACTTCGAGGATGTTGTTGAGGAGCTCCAAACTGTTTTTCCTCTCATCGTGTGGGCCGTCAGCCATTGTGACCAGTGCCCCACTCAGCTCCCGCAACATCAGGGGTAACAACACATCACGGCATTCTGTAGGAACAAAAGGCAAAGAGTATAAGTAAGAGCACAACACTAAACACGGTGGCCAAAGACAGATAGTTTAAAGCAACAGAAAACATAAAGGAAAATCAGCATAATGCAGGATATGGCAGGAAGATTGTTAAAAATTTAGTCCTTTGGAGTTTTAAACTGTTTACATTTATATATATCAAAAGACAGACCATAAAAATTTACTTCAGTGTTATTCCTCTCTGAAAAACCAATCAAACACCTGTGGAGACTGCTGCAGCCACACAGCAATGAGTAATGATGCCACTGGACCATGGAGAAGAAATTCAAACCTCACCCCAGACTGAACAGTGGAGTGATATCAATCAAGTGTCGATTTACAGTTCAGTGCACTGCTTTGTTAGATACAGTCAACACATCAATCACCGAACTATTATTTTCTCTTTCCCATTTTTCTGACGAATCCAAATCTTTGATTCCAAATACAATGGAATGAATTAAACACATTAAATTTACCAACATTTGAGCAGCAAGAGCATTAAAAACAGTCACTAGTCTTATAACAGTATGCACTCACATCTGTGCCTAATCATACATCTCTCGCAGCTCTTCTCTGGCAGTTGTTCAAAGTCATTTTGGGATTTATAGGGAACTACAAAAGTAGCAATGTATTGCAGTAGAAAGTGAAGCAAAAAGAAATGTGAATAAATAAAACAAGTTTTTACTACACTTAACAAAGCAGTAAACAACACATTTTCTTGAAATCTATTAGTCTAAGATTATTCAAGGATGCAATTTGTCAGTAAACTTGGTGGGTAGTTGTCCTGCTAGAAAATACAAATTTTCTGCCTTTTGATGTTTTAATGGTGAGGCCGAAGGCAGGACCAAGAATGCTGTAACAGATAAATACAAGTACTGACTATTAAAGGATCAAACCAGTTATTTCCCATGAGCAACCAGCCACATTTTTCTATCAGGATTACACAGAAACTAAAAGATCAACTTTCTTGAAACCTGACAGAAAGAAAGAAGAAAGGCCAAAGTGTGAAGACATGAAATTCTACTGTGGATTTGGACCATGTTCTTTACAGACTTCACAGCCTGTTTTAGACTAATAGAAGACAGACTTTAAAATGTCATTCCAGCTTTTCAATGAATTTGCAAAGATTTTACTGAATTAAATAGTAAGGTGATTCACCTTAAAATTCATTGCTATGCCTCGGAAAACTTGCTTTTACTACACACAGGTATGCAGATAAGAACCTTGTATGGAAATATATGGTCGACATTCAACTTCTTTTAAGTTCTCAGAGCTGCTATTGTGGAGTGCCTAGAGACCAACTGTAGCATTAAGCCTTTGTATTGTCAAGGGTGAAGCAACAGGAAAATGGACTTAATTTGGGATTTTCTCACTGTGAGCCAATGTTGCTGAACCTTGGCATTTAGTACCTAAATGAAGAAGTTCTGTAGCCTGAGCCTGACTTCACCATATGAATGACAGACCTAAAATTATTTAGAGGTCATGAGGCAAGTTTACCTGAATTAATTTGAAAAAGCAAAAAAAAAAACAACCCAACTTTTATTATGCAAAAGCTATGAGGAGGAAGTAATGAGTCTCAAGTTCCTAAGTTGAATTTGATAGTGTACCAAAGTGAACTAAAACCAATGATCCCTTCACAGGTATGAAAAAAGAACCATTTCCATTAATAATGAAATCCATCCATCCATTTTATTAACTGCTTATTCTGCATAGGGTCACGAGGGGGGCTGATCCTATCTCAGCTGACAAAGGGCAAAAAGCAATAGTTAAGGTGATAATGAAATGCCTGTCCATAATAGAAGCTGGACCCACACAGGTCATCAGCAGAAATGTCTGGAAAGGTTCCTCTAAGGAAGGCATCCTTCAGGAATTCACCTCTAATACTTTTTGAAGCCAGTAAAAGTTAGGCAAACCACCTTGTAGTCAGAGTTAAATAAATGTTTAACCATTAATTGCCGGTATTTAAGAAAACTGCCACCCTACTGGAATCTAACATTAACTGATCCTATCTATTTTTCTGCTTAAATACTTTGACCTCACCCTTTCTTGTCTTTTCTGCATCCATCCTTTTGCCCCCCCCCACCACCTCCACTCCATCCCTCTCTTTGTAGCTGCAGGTAGACAGAGCCCATTAAAAGCTCATTTGGGCTGATGCTCGTTAGTTCCATTAATAACTGAGCTAAGCCTTATAGGCCTGCTGAGTGGATCCTCATCCCAACACTCACTTTATCACACAAACATGAAGAGAGGAAGGGGAATCAAAAAGGGAAAATGCATGCGTCACCGAATGCCCTCAATGACTCAAAGATGGAGGGAGGAGACTCCAGCCAAGAGTATTGTTGCTGTGCATCACTATATTCGAATGTGCCAAGACATTTAATATTTAAATCAGTGAATATGTAAAAATATCTGAACAAATAGATTTAATTTTTGAATCTGAAAGGAGATCTGCAGCTGTGTAAAGCATTTAATGAATAAATGAATAACATTTGCACAAATAATTTCCAGTTTGTGAGTGCATTAAGACAATCTGCATATAGGTTTGGAGATGCAGAGCAGAGTTTTGCAGTTACAAATCAGTCTGTTTGTGGCTAAAAGAAAAAGAAAAGAAAAAGCTTGTGTCACAAAAAATGAAACAGGATGGCCTAACGGCTTGTGTTGGCTTTTAGAAAGGTGGAGGATGGTGGTTTAGATTCTGTGAGCATTGCATTTTAGCAACCCTGCTAAATCTGTTTAATCCATCAAAGCAGAAACTCATCATCTTTGTCCTTTCAGACAGCGAAAACAATGAGTTGTGTTTTATAGCAGAAAGGTTGTGTGATCTGGCTTGGGAATTAATCCATCTGCCTTCTGGCTTGGATCTAACATTAAACCAGTGGACCTGTGCACTTTACTCCCTGGTGAAATAATTTGTTAATTTTTCTAATACATCTGTAATTTATTCTGTTCTAAATAATTAATTAACCTGGCCCTTGTGCTGCAGTAATTTACCCAGAATTTGAGCAGTGTGTAACTAATAAAGTCTATCTCTGTTTAAATAACGTACTTGTAGCTAAAAAAAGATGGTGCAGTGATTAATACTGTCACACAGGAGAAAGGTTCTGGGTTCAAATCTTGGAGTTTGCATGCTCTCCCTGTGGTTGCCTGGGGTTTGTCTGGGTTGTCTGGTTTCCTCTCAAAGTCCAAAGACATGCAATGCATGCTCGGTTAACTGTTGAATCCAAGTTAACAGTCTTGGATGTAATGTGATGTGATGTAGATAAAGTGGTAAGTGTTGTTTTTAGTGTAGAGTGCTTGGATTGCATCTATTATTATAGGATATACTGTACAATATAAAGTGCCTAGGGGCGACTGTTGTTGTGTTTTGGCGCTATATAAATAAAAATGAATTGTATTGAATTGAACTGAATTGAATTGAACTGAGTGGCCAATAATAACATAAAAGCACTGCACAGTCCATTTTCAGTGTAGTTTAAAGCAAATACAAAAGCTGGAAAAAAGGAGAAGAAAAAAAGGAGTAAAAGTCAGGCTGAAAAGCTTCAAAAATGTGAAAAAGTTAGACTGAAAATCACTATTCTTAAGTTCAGTTCAGTCTATAACTACTACTACTACTAAGCACTTGTGAACGTCTTAAGTTCTGTATATAACACTTTATATTCAGCCAAGTATTTTAAAATTTACCCCCAGCTGAAAAGAAATATAGCCTTTTGAAATAAGATGGTTCTTTTTGATACACCCTGAACAAAATCTGCAAAACCTATGCTGAGCTTGTGTATGTAGAGCCATTTCAGTCAGCAGCTATGTCCCATCTTAAAATTCATAAAACTGATAAATAAGAGTACCATAATAGCTTGCTCTTCTGTGACATCCTTTGATAGATCTGTGAGTGACAATTGTCTGTTTTTATTTTACTTTCTTTTCAAATCACGTATAGAACTTTTTAATGCAAGCATATAAATGAAGTACACGCTGCCTTAGTTATGGTCCTTCAGACTGTGTGCCTGATAGTCTTCAATCACCGATGCAGAGCAGTGCCTTTAACTTTGCAGGTATTTCTTTTTTACCTTGCTTGGCCTGGAATAACATCAGGAATGTTAATATCTGCTGCCTCTGTCTGAACAGCAGCTCTCTCAGAGACTTCTTTGAACTACATTTTGGTCCTCGGGGCCTCCAGTCTTGTAAGAACATCAGTGACCATGGGGTGCAGCTCCAGGTCTAGGCCATTCTTTAACAGGGCATTTAAAATAATGGCTATTTACTGTTAAAAAAAAACACTTTGTCTAGGTTTCTGACCTAACACTCTGACCCTGAAGGAAAACGTTTGTCTTCATACCTACAAAACCTTCCTTTTATGCTAATGAGGCTCAGATTGGTGGTACAATCAAGGTTCAGGTTCAAGGTTCTTTATTTGTCACATGCATAGTTATACAAGTATAACACACAGTGAAATGTAGCCTGACACGCTCCTCGACATGTGCAAAAATGGGGGGGTAGAGGAAGAACATTATATATATATATAATAGTATATACATTGGGTGAATGTGCAGTAGTAGCAGCAAGCAGGTGAGTTCTGTACTTTAATATGAATAGACATCTGACTATTTTACAGAATAGACATCCATCCATCCATCCATCCATCTTCATCCGCTTTGTCCGGGGCCGGGTCGCGGGGGCAGCAGCCTAAGCAAAGAGGCCCAGACCTCCCTCTCCCCAGCCACCTCCTCCAGCTTATCCGGGGGAATACCAAGGCGTTCCCAGGCCAGCCGAGAGATATAATCTCTCCAGCGTGTCCTGGGTCTGCCCCGGGCCTCCTCCCGGTGGGACATGCCTGGAACACCTCACCCAGGAGGCGCCCAGGGGGCATCCTTGTCAGATGCCCGAACCACCTCAGCTGGCTCCTTTCGATGTGGAGCAGCAGCTGCTCTACTCTGAGCCCCTCCCGGATGGCCGAACTTCTCACCCTATCTCTAAGGGAGAGGCC